TAACTAATCATTTTCTATCTTAACACTCCCCCTCAAGTTGGTGGGTGGAAAATATTTAAAACCCCCAACTTGGCTATCAGATACTCGTGTTGTTGTGTTCCAAGTGCCTTTGTCAAGATGTTTGCAGGCTGCTCCCTTGAGGATATGTGTTCAACAGTGATGAACCCTTCTTGAATCTTGTCTCTAACAAAATGACAATAAATTCTTTCTCTCATGGAAGACTGGATTAGAAGCAATCTGCAATGTGGCTTTATTGTCACAAAACAACTTGGCTGGTTTATCCTGTTTCACTCCTAGTTCAGTTAGCAATCCACTTAGCCAAACTAATTCTACCGTAGTCATAGCCATACTTTTATACTCAGCTTCAGTTGAAGAACGAGCTACTGTGTTCTATTTTTTTTACTTCCACGAAATCAAGGAATTGCCAAGTTTTAAACAATATCCTGTTACAGACTTCCTTGATATCGGGCAAGTTGCTCAATCAGAATCATAAAAGGCAATTATGTCACATATACTTGAAGAGTCCAACAAAACTCCCTGCCCTGGATTCTTCTTAATATATCGTACAACTCTCAAGGCTGCTTCCATATGCTCCTTTTCAGGCTGATGCATGAACTGACTTAGATGTTGTACTGAATAGGCTATGTCAGGCCTGGTGTGAGTTAAGTATATGAGCCTGCCTATGAGCCTTTGAAATTGTGTCTTTGCTATCATACTTTCTTCATTCTGCTTCAAGCATTTTGTATCCGAAACAACAGAAAGATTATTATTTTGTTCCAATGGCATTAAAGCAGGCCTTGCTCCCCCTGTCCTACTATCTTCTATTAATTCTATTACATATTTGCGCTGGTTTAATATGATCCCCTTCTCTGACCTCAACATTCTGTTAAAATAATGCCTCGTATGTATTATTATTCAGCTAAACTTCAATATATAGTACACTATACAAGCAATAATACAAGAACTAAAAAATAACTGCTTCTAACAAACTCCTAACAGCCTACCAACCAACTTCTAACAAACTAACTAATCATTTGTTATCTTAACACTCCCCCTCAAGTTGGTGGGTGGAAAACATTTGAAACCCCCAACTTGGCTGTCAGATACTCGTGCTGTTGTGTTCCAAGTGCCTTTGTCAAGATGTCTACAGGCTGTTCCCTTGAGGATATGTGTTTAGCAGTGATGAACCCTTCTTGAATCTTGTCTCTAACAAAATGGCAATCAATTTCAATGTTCTTCGTTCTCTCATGGAAGACTGGATTAGAAGCAATCTGCAATGCGACTTTACTGTCACAAAACAACTTGGCTGGTTGATCCTGTTTCACTCCTAGTTCGCTTAGCAATCCACTTAGCCAAACTAATTCTGCTGTAGTCATAGCCATACTTCTATACTCAGCTTCAGCTGAAGAACGAGCTATTGTGTTATGCTTTTTTGACTTCCACGAAATCGCCTGGTGTAAGTTAAGTATATGAGCCTGCCTATGGCCTTTGAAATTATGTCTTGTCTATCATACTTTCTTCATTCTGCTTCAAGCATTTTGAATCCGAAACAGCAGAAAGATTATTATTTTGTTCCAATGGCATTCAAGCAGGCCTTGCTCCCCCTGTCCTACTATCTTCTATTAATTCTATTAGTTCAGCTCTCTGTTGTGCCTTCCAGTCTCGATTCGTCGGTATTTTACTCCAAAAGCTCTGGGACTCTTGATCGTCGCCGGTTTCAAGGTGTTTGTGACTATTGCAAGATTAAAGGTCACAAATGAGATAGTTGTTATCATCTTATAGGGTTTCCACCCGATTTCAAGTTCTCTAAACGCAAGAACACTCAGACTACAGTAGTTGTCTCTGAACTTGTTGTTACATTCTTCGTAACATTTTAGGTTCAACCGAAAAGTTAGTAAAAAAGATAACATTTTAGGTTGCGCAACCTAAAATGTGTTATGATTTTTATCACATTTTGAGTTGTATCCCAAAGTCGTCATTTTTTAACCTTAAATTAAGCTACCGCACAATAGAAACACCCAGCCATTGGTTAGTAGGGATTTAAATAGTGATTGTTTATTATAATAATGGTCGAGTAATGTAATAACAGTCATCAAATGGTGATAACATTATCGTTCGAAATCATTGTTATTAATAATTGTGGTGTGAAATAGAATCAAAACAATATGGTGGATCACACACATTTTACAGGCAATGGTCAATTACGGTAATAACATATCATTATTTCTATTATTATTTTGTTATGGTAAAATTAAAAAAATCAAATAATCCGTTGCAGTATTTAAAATCATTATGTTTTACAATAAATTGTATGAATCTAAAAAAAAGTTTAAGATCATGATACTAATAATAATTATAACAATATCTATTATATTTGCAACCACAATAAATATAATGCGATTGAAAGCTAGACCATAACTTCAAGCCGGATAATGAAGGCCGTAAATAATCTGATTATGGCATTATTTAATGGCACATCATTGGCTCCTTCGTCGAACAACACGAGTTCAGGTTGCCTGCCGCAATACTGTGGGAGACTCTTTCACAACCTATGCAGTTATAGGCACAGATTTTTTATTTTTTTATTTTTTTATTTTTGTTGTTGAAATTAACCAGAATACCATTAACTTGAAATAACGTCAGAAACAACAAAGTCAGCAATACAAGAAGGATAATCACATGTAAAAGACATCGACATATTACTGTTAGAAGCAAACTGAGCTAAAGTGTGTGCCGTTTGATTAGCCGACCTGCGAATGGACTGGATATGGAAGCCAGGATTTACAGCTAAAATATTATAGGCAGAGATTTAAATTACAGTTGTAGTTGTGTTTTTTTTGGTGTTGTGTTTATCACGATTGTTGACTTAACGAGTACTGTTACAATCATTGATGATATCACGATCATATGATAACGATTTCGGATGACACTATTACCGTAATGTAACAACCGCTATTGCGATAATGGACAGCTATTTAAATTTATGATCATAGGCTTTTTACTCACTAGTGCTGTTTTCGTGTAGAACATGTTTGTACTCGCCCTTCAGTTTTGGCAACATCAAAATATATTCGAAAATCCTATTTTCCGTTGCTGTTGGAACACATGCAGCGTATCCGATTTCTGTTTCTCGTAGAAGAGTTACAAATTTAACAGCAACATCTGGCCAGCAAGATAGTTTTAAAGATGAGTTGTTCCTCATCACTGGATTTTTGTACAAACCAAAGAATTATTCAAGGTTGTTAATGTGTAGCCATATCTTATTGATAGAAGTACATTTAACAGTGGGTTCATATGCAACACCTACATACTTCATATTCATATCTAAAAGGCAATGTTAAACCTTAATTAAGATACTAAACAAAGATGATATTTTTAACCACTCTTTGTCATCGGCTCATCCCTTCTTCCACCGGCGGTGGGATCGAAGTCATCGGCACTTCACGACTCTGTTTTTCCATATTGCCATGCCACCCAATGGACAGATCGTAGCCACGGGTTTTGAGCTCACGGTACTCTTGGCACAAGGCGCAGTACTCGCAGAAGCAATGGACAAGGCAATCCCCGCAAGGGTGTTTCTTCAACATATATTGCTGCCTCATTTTGGAACGGTAAAAGCACGAATAACAACAAGCGCAGCCCGTGACGCATGCTATCAGTGTGTAAAGTGCTCCATTTACCCCACATGCTGCACCACTCAATTCTCTTCTATCAGTATAAATCTATACATTTGGGTTTTAAATTTCCAGGTTTAATTAACTTACACGATGACCCTTTATCAACAATCTCAGCAATTTGGCCAAAAGTGACGCAGGGGCACCAACATGTTATGCAACCTGTAAGGATAATTTAATTAGAAACCATTTTCGTAAGGAGAAATGGGTTTGTTTGAGTTGAGTTAAGCTTACAGTTTCTCCAGTCAGAGAAGCAGTCACAGAGGCCTGATGACCAAGGGACTCTAGTTTTAGTCTTAACAGTTTTGGTCGTTTGAGAACTGTCGGTGTAGTATGGGTTCGAGGAGCTGAGTGGAATCCCAGTTGTGGCGGCTTCTTGGCCCAACTGCGGTGGTTGTTGTGGAGGTGAAGCTGAGAACTTTTCATAGCCACTTGGGTTGAAGGAAGCCATGGATGGATACAAAATGTAAGGTTCTCCGAAAACTGTATAGTAGATAGGAATGCAGAAAAGATAAAATTATCGTGGAAAACTAAAGTAGAAGATGGGCAATTTGCTTGGAATTTGGATGAGTTTATATCAAGTAGAAAACGATGGATGTGCGATTAGTCAACTCAAACGGCGCGTCGAACCACAAAAGTCTTGGCGCGTGTTTCTCGTTTGCAGGTGCGAGGAACTACATATAATCCAGACGGTAGTATTTGATGAATATAAATGAATTGGGTTAAACGAATAAAATTATATTTATATTCATTTATTTATTTTAATATATTTATGTTCGATTTATTTAATATTTTTAAACACATTTATTTATAAGTTCGTCAATATATTCATTTAATATTTATGAATATAATTTAAGTCTCCTTAACAACAAATATTTTTTTATTCTTTTATTTGCATACTAAATATTTAAAACGTAAAAAAGTAAAATAAAAAAAATAATAAATAAGTCAAACAAATTTATTCAAAACTATAAATGAATTGAACACTTCGTGTTCATTTGTATTTAATTTAATAAACATGCATAAATAAATATTATACCAAATATTCATTTAACAGTATATTTATTTTTACCCTTATTTATTAGTTAATTTATTTGTTTTTTAATAGTTTTTATTGATAATAAGATCATGGATGATGAGATAAGAAAAATTATGTAAATTTTTTTATTGGTAATATTTTTAATTAATCTTAGAAAAAAGAAATCTAAAACCAGTGGATATTATAAGTTTCCATAAATGTGCAATACGTGGCTTCCCAATGAGCAAATAATGCAATTGTAGGACCCGACCCGGAAGTTAAGTTTCTAAAATCCGGTTTAACTTCCAAATAAAAATAGAAGCAGAGGCATACAATTAAACCGCCACTGAACCTGGGAAACGAACATCTCCAATGGCTCGCGTCGCCTCAAACCCTCTTTCTCTGCCCAGATTTAGGCCATACTTTCAAGTTTCAGACTCAACCCACCACCTCTTCAAATCTCCTTCTCTTTCCCAGAACAGAATTCGCAAGTTTCAAACCATTGCCTGTCAAACAAATCCGATCCCCGCCGAAACAGAATCCTCCGATAAGGTAAACTCTCCGTACTTTATTCTTCTTTCTGCTTTTAGTTTTCCCTCATTTTTTTGGCATGAGTATTTGGTTGCTATCTTCATTTGTATAAAATGGGTTGCTGATAATTTTAGCCGAGGGCAATTCGAAATCTGTCGATTTCGATAAGTAGAGATAAAAATATAGCTTTAATCTGCTGCTGCCCTTCAGTACTAGAAGAAGATAAGAATGAATGAATGGAAATATAGTTTCGGAACATGGATTTAAAATTTAGATTTCATTTAGTGCCCGCATCTTGCATGCTTCTTTATTCACTATTTAGTACTAAAAACGAATGTAGCCCATCTTAGAATTGTCTTGGAGTTGCTACTATTCTAATATTTCCTCATTTATCGATACCATACTTTTGTTTTAGCAAAGGCCTAATCATCTACTTGAAACAGGAAAAGGTACTTGTGGAGCTTGATTCAGTCAAAGATAGCACTAGCGAAGCTACAACTTCCTCTGATGGAGGCGGCTCTTCTGAATTTCCAAACAAAAATTTTAGTAGGCGAATAGCAGTTGGTTCTACCCTTGCTGCAGTGGGACTTTTCCTGTCATCACGATTGGACTTTGGTGTTTCTTTGAAGGACTTATCTGCTGAAGCAGTGCCTTTTGAAGAGGTTTGATTTTCCAACTTTTTTACTCAATTGCTATATCATTTTGCAGGATCTAGGTCTCAGGTAAATCCCCATTTGAATGTAGAGACGACACAAGATTTTAAGCTAGGGACGAATTTATAATGTTTTTAAGGAACAAATTAGGGGCAAAAACAGATTATCAATAGAAAATACAAAGAAAATGTATAAAATTATATGGAAATTTGAAATTTTCATGACCTCTCGGTGCATCACTGATTTAGGGTCTTAAAGGGTTGCAATATTCTCTAACACTAGTCTTTTTTGGCTGGTTCTAAAGGCTCTTTCAAATGGAAAGCCAACTGTTGTAGAGTTCTACGCAGATTGGTGTGAAGTATGCCGGGAATTAGCTCCTGATATTTATAAAGTAGAGCAGCAGTACAGGTAAAGGCTTCACATTGTTTCTGTTGTCATTTATTTCTCTCAATCCTGCTTCTTTCTTCATTTGTTTATCAATAAATATTTCTTGTGGTTTTTGATACATTTTGATTCAGGGATCGTGTGAATTTCGTTATGCTGAATGTCGACAACACGAAGTGGGAACAAGAACTCGATGAGTTTGGTGTCGAGGGTATTCCGCACTTTGCGTTCCTGGACAAAGAGGGGAACGAGGAAGGAAACGTCGTAGGCAAGCTTCCGAGGAAGTACTTCCTCGAGAACGTGGAGGCTCTTGCCAGGGGCGAGGCATCGGTTCCTCATTATCGCGAGGTGGGACAGTATTCGAGTGCCGAATCAAGGAGGGTGCACGGGGTTGTTGATCCCAGAAGTCATGTGTAGAATGATGTTATCTTCTTTTGAGAAGTAACCCCATTAATTCTTCCCCCAAGTATAAATACACATACAAAGGTAGCTCCTTTTTCCAATTTAGTTTACTTGTTTATCCATATGTAGTTATGGTCTTAATATACGAAGGTAACCCTTTGCTTAGCATGAGGGTTATGTCTTATGAGTAAAGAGGCAAAATATTGGTTCAAAATTAAAAGAAAAAAAATATGGAAAGAGCCATTTATATCCGATTTAATTTGTTGTTTATTAAAAGATTAAGAAAATGAAAGTTATAATAGAATTCAAATTGAATTTAATTATTTAAATAGATATAAATTTATCAACAATCTCTAGATCAAGTGGTTAAAAGTTTTTAGTTGACATCTCTCTTAGATTATAAGTTCCCTTGGTGATTAAAGAGACTATTGTTTTCTCTTGAGATAATGAATTCAAATATTTGCATATGCGTCTACAGATTGTGTGTTGTAATTACAATATTTTTATTTCAACAAACAACTTTTTAAAATATACATGTTCATATTTAAAATTTTAACTACTAACTTTTGAATTTCTAATATATATATTCACTTTAGTTAAATAATATTCAAATTATAAGTACTAAGCAATCATAATAAAACATGTGTAATTAAAAAAAATGCTAGTTACCTAATTGCATCATTGAAAAAATTAATATACTAAATTGCACATAAATTCCAAAGTTAGGTACCAAATTTTGCATTTACCCATATTTTCCCCCATAAAGTCCATACGGCTCAAGAACGTTAGGCCGGCCGGTCTAAAATTGAAGAGATTCATATATTTTTTTCTGGGAGAGGCGATATCATAGTGGCAGGTGTTGGATGATTGATGAGTGAAGAAAGCATCCGATTCCGATGGGAAGGGCGGCGTAAATGCCTGAAATCACTTAAAATATCAGCCACTAAATCTCTATTCAGCACGATTACAATTTCAGAAATCTAATCCCCTTTTCTTCTAAAAAAATTCAGCACGATTTATTGTTCTTTTCTTTAGGGTTTGTTTTAGCATTTTGTGAATGGTGGAAACAGTTACCAGTATTACTTTGATGGTCTCCCTTTGCAAATCAGCGGCCTATGCCTCCGCATTTGGTTCTTGCAGAGAAGGCTGGTTTTATAGCTGTCTCGGCCTTGATCCATAAACAAACAACACCAAAAGGTTATTTGAAACTCTACACTATTAAATATTCCTTCTTTTTTATATTTTCTTTGGATTTGTATTAAAAAAAAGTTTGGGGGAAGAATGTTGGTTTACAAGCAGAAGAAGAATCAGGGTCCCAAGGGCAACAGGCTCTTGGTAAGCATCATTGTTCATGGAAGTGCAGGACCCATCCGGTTTGTTGTTAACGAGTAAGAGCTTGTTGCCGGCGTCAATGATACTGCTTTGAAAGCATATGCTCGTGAGTGTGGGCTTCCTGATTTTGGATCTGATATCAACTGTTTCTTCCTTTATTGCCCTGGTGCTCGATCCGATGGTGAGTTTTTTGTTCAGATTCTACTGCTTTTAGTTGATAAATGTTTGTTTGGTTTGCTTGAAGAATATGTTTTTGTTTGTGTTATTTTGCAGCACTGAGTCCGTGGGAGACGATTGGATCACAAGGGGCGAGAAATTTCGTGATGTGCAATAAACCAATGAGTGAGGGTCTGGAAGATGTTGAGAGGTCTACTAGGAATTGGAAGGCATGGATTCATAAGTCCTTCAGTATTAAGATCTTTTCCCTTTAAAATCTATTTTATGGCCTTTGTTTATTCATAAGTAATCTTGGATGACCGTGGTTGCATGTTTTCACGGCTTTTCGACCTAAATGTCATCCTTTTTTTTATAATATTCCCGATGTAACTCCGTTTTTCTAATATCTCTCAAAGCAACACCTATTCGGCTGATGTGGAGCTAAGGCGCGTTCCCGTGAGCGCACTTTGACGGGATTTTTGCTGACAAGGTAAAAGGCGAGTTTCAGGGGACACTCTTAACATGAGTTTCTGCTGACTGGGAGCTTTTCAGGGGGCGCTTTAGCGGGACCAAGTCAGAAGGAGCGCTTCCGAGGTGCACCTTCCATTGTTAATAACGTGAGTAGTAGCCCGCCGGGGACATCACACATAATAGGACAATTATAACATATTCTCTGACAAAAAGTAAATGCGCATCCCACAAGAAATGCTTTCATCACATTGTTGCGTCCTATCAAACATAATAGGTATTGACTTGAATAGTGCCCCGTTGGAGGACATCACACACATAGTAGGACAATTATAACCTGATGAATTACAGAGAATCTTTGACAAAAAAGAAACGTGTGTCCCACAAGAAGCACTTTTATGTGAATAGTGCCCTGGTTATAGACATTATTAAATGCAACATATTCTAAAATTTTAAAACACAACTGCTCTCAACCTTTCAATCTCTCATATTCTAAAATTTTCAAACTCTCAAACCTATATTATCTGAAAATGAGTCATCTTTTTGCAATATTGCAATTTTTAGTTACTGAAGGAGAGTTTCAAAATATATTGTGCTATTAATGATGGAATTATTAATCTTTTTGACAGGGTAAAATGGTTTTTTATTGTTTATAGTAGAATTTCCTAGTTTGAAACAGATTCTTTTCTCTTTTCTTTTTCAAAATGACTGCTCAAGTTGTGAGTTTGCGGTTCTTTGAGATGCCAAGACAGGAGGCTGTCAAAGCTCTTGATGTATACAAGCGATCTTGTCAGCAGGTGAAGATGCTATTTCTTTTTAATGCATCAAATACGTATCTGATTTGTTGCTTTTTTTATGATTATTGGATTATATCACTTGGTTTGCAATCAAGTCTGGTTTGATATCTCAGTTTAGTGGCTTAGTAAAATATATTTAATGTTTATGGTGCAGGCTAATAGCCTTTCTGATTTCTATGAAGTTTGCAAAAGATTGGAACTTGCTAGAAACTTCCAGTTTCCTGTTCTCAGGGAGGTATGGATTCTATGGATTTGATTTGTTGTTTGAATTGGCTTGTTCATAAATCGTCTGTTTGATACTTTATATATTAATTCATCACTAACCTTGTTCCAGCCGCCACAATCTTTTCTCACTACCACGGATGAGTATATTAGAGAGGCACCACGTGTGGTTTCTGTTCCCACTGAACCGTTCGATAGTACTTCTCTCATTAAATTCCACACTATACATTATGGTTGTATGAAGACAGAATGGATTTTGAATTATGATTATATTTTCCCCATATTTTAGAACTTCTGACCGTTTTGTCATCATGAGGATACTATACTGCTATATTTGAGAAACTACAAAATCTTGAATGCTTAACTTTGCAACTGGCTCCAGAACTAGAAACACGTACAATTTTATGTTGAAAACTACCACAGCTGTGGGAAAGATGACATTGAGTTCATTATTAATGATGGATGAAAATGAAACATTTTAATTCAGTTCTCCTTTGTGTTTAACTAACAATTCCTGAATTAAAAAACTGATAAATGCTATATAACTGATGGTGTTGTTGGTTACAGCTATTAACATACAGACCAGAGGAAGGCCCTTCTGAAGATACTAGATTATCAAATGATGAACCTGAGCCATCTGCTCCTGCTGCTTCTAATACTGATGCAGTTCCCAGTGTGGAGCCTGCTGCTGCTGCTGCTCCCCCACCTCAGACCAACATGGACACTGGAGATTTATTGGTAATGTTTCCTTGGGAGCTTCACAATGTTATCCTATTTGTCTACTTAAAATTTTGTTTATTGCATTTGGTGGTTTCAAGGATTAAATTATTCTGTGCCCGATGCCCCAGAAATTGAGGAAAGTAATACTTTAGCTCTAGCCATAATACCAAATGAATCAGGTAAAAATATGTTTCTTTTTCTTTTCTTTTCTTTTTCGCCCTTATTTGATGGATGTTACTCTAATCTTTGCTGTTGCCATGATCAGCTAAGGTGCGAATGTTATATTTTGCAGGAACTGTTTCGACAGTTATGTTTACTGCAGGTCAGCCTGTAGAATTTGATCCTACTGGATGGGAACTTGCCCTTGTCAGCACACCAAGTACCGATATTTCTGCACCTACTGATAGGCAATTGGTATTCTCTTTCTGTGCTTTCACTTTTTAGTACGTTCTTATGTATTTTTGTTGTTTTAGAAATATGACACACTACTGGCTAAGGTTGGGGATGATTGAGAGGTAGGCATTCACTTGGGGCATCTTAGTTCTAGTTTTGCTTCTCTGGAATAAGAGGTCTTCAATTCTTCCTGCAGTTTTGGATTATTAGCTACGAAATGTCTGTAAATACATTGGGGACACTCTGAAACCCTAGCAAGCTAATCTAATTAATTTTGTCGTCGATAATTTTCAGGGTGGTGGATTAGACTCGCTGACCCTCAACAGTTTATATGATGAAGCAGGATATAGAGCTCAGCAGCCTGCATATGGACCTCCTGCTCCAAATCCATTTGAGGTGCAAGACCCATTTGTCATGTCAAATAACATTGCTCCCCCTCCATCTGTGCAAATTGCAGCAATGGATCAACAGCAGAACAATCCGTTCGGTTCTTACCATCCTACTTATCAGCAGCCGCAACATCCGTCGAATCCATTTGGTGAAACAGGGTTTGGGGTGTTCCCGGTGAACCAAGTGGCGGCTGTTGGTCAGTCGCAAGCCAATAATCCATTTGGAAGCACTGGCCTATAATAATGTTGAATGTGGAGAGTTAAGTTTGTCGACATCTTTTGTGATGTTGAAAAGAGCGTAGGTTGTGTTTTACCCACGGGATGAATGGCTTTCTGCAGCTATCTTATTACATTCTGTATGGGTTTGTAAAGTCAGTGAGTTAGTAGTTTAAAAATGTGATTGTACAATTTTTCCCCTTTTATAATTATATTTATAGATTATACAGTTTGATAATTTCACAATTGATTTTGAAAATTTCCCAACTATCGTCTTTTAAATTAATTCCTTTAGATCAGTTATATCTACAGAATAGACTAGAAACTAGAAACTGAAAGCAGTAAAGCTAAAGAGTGTGAGGAGACGAGAGAGCTCCCACCCCACTTCTTGGAAGCGCGCTCAAATCAGCATCATTACCCTCACTCTCTGTTCTTTCATTTATAAAACAAGTTTAAATCTGAAAACATAGGAGGTCGATTTTAATTGTACCAATCTTTTTCTTGTCTTGGCCATTGGTGGCCTATGAACAGCTGTGTTTTTGTTAATTAATTGCTTTTGTAATGCTCTTAATCATAGCATCCAATGTATTCCATTACTACTTCCCCATTCCCAACTTCTTTTTCTTTACAGAAATAATAATATCTTACAAACCTCCTTGAAAGATGACATTATTACAAGGAACAAATCTAATTCATCTTCTCTTATATTCTCTATGGTTATATTTTTATGAATATTTGATTTATTAATGATGTATTAATTATCTGTAGATAAGATACAACCAAAAAAAGAAATTAATTTTAAAATTATATGTTGATATATCATCATTTGATTTAAGTAACAATACATGAATTTATATACTATCAATACATCAAATATTAATTTATCTTTATATTTCTAATAATTCTTTAAACCAATGTTTTATGTTTAGATTGTAATTTCCTAATTTATTACTCAACATTTTGATAAATTTTAAGATATACTATATTGGATAATCAAATCTAAGGTTAATGTGTTCTTCCCTAGGTTTCAATGAATTTGAATCAAGTTGGTCCAAAATGCCTTTTTTGTTCTACTTAATCCTATTATAATCAACCAACTCCAAAACAAAGTATTTATTTATTTATTTCTGTTGGGAAAAATCAATTTATTTCCTCATTTGCATTTTCCACATTGGGTTTTCCCCTATATCTCCTTGTGATCATTCAATATTTTAATTTGAAATATCTCAAGGGATTTTGCCTTCCATCAAACGGTAAACAGCTTGCTCAAAAGATATCTTAGTTCAAACATAGAATACGAAATATCCGAACAAGTCCCTGTGGAGAATTAGCAATATTTTCTATACATTGAATTACTTGTAGATTTGGACACTTCAACTAAGTCTCTCAACTCGAGCAAAATTAGACATTAACTTCATGCTTCTCCCCTACCCTTCTTAAGTGATTATGGGAGTTTTTTTTTCTTTGATAAACTAAATATTTAATCACTCAACTATTCTCGCGGTTCTGCTTTGGTCACCTAATTATTTTTTTCAAAATCATCCTAATATTACTTTTTGGTCACCCACCTTAAAAAATTAATGGTGATGCTGACATGTCACCATAAGGTAATGTCATATAAACAATTCTACTTTTTTTTTTAACGGTGGATGACTTAAATAGAACGAAAATGTAATTTTGAGTATGATTTTAAAAAATAGTTGGAAGAACAAAACGGAATCACGGGAATAATTAGATGACTAAATACATAGTTTACACTCTTTTTTCCCCTTTTTCAGCTTTAACTTCGAATATTAAAACTTAAATTAAGTTACGATTAAAAATAGATATTAAATAAAAAATAATTAATGTTCGTATCAGAACGAAAAATCCATCAATCATAATTTGTTATTTATATTTATTCAATTACATAGGTGAATTGTATTTGTATATAAGATGGCCCCAATCTAATAAAACAATGCTTAAAAGTAAATCTAATAACAAGGGGCCCTATAAATGAATGATTATGGTATAAGATTAAGCAAAATATACTTTGATATATATTTTTATTATTTGGTCTTGGATGATGTCTTTTTAGCCACGCCAATCATGTGGGATGATGCCCTAAGGGACCCTCTCCCTCGATATTTAAGATCATGTCCCAATTGAATTTTCTTCTTGTTGTCCTCTTGGTTTTCAAAGTTTCATCCTAAGGAGATCTTCTTGATTTTCTGCATATACAAATACTCAGAATTAATGTATACTTCAGCGATATCAAACTGTTTATTACTTGAATCAACACACGTTAGTAAAACTGAATTCTTTTGTTAAAATCTGTATTAGATTTCTTTTTGGAATAAAGAAATTCAACGATGTTAAAGTGTAGCTCATCAACTTTAAGACCATTCAAGGTGGAGCTTAATAAATTGAATTTGGACCTTTGAAATAACGTGGATTTTATGTAATCTGATTTGTTTAGGGTTGAAATGTTTTCAACAATGAATGGCAGCTCTATCGGGAAACTTCAAAAAGGAAATAAAGAAAAAAGAAAGATAAATCCTATGTAATTTGTGTTCAACTTTTGGGACAAATTTGATTCACACTTTAAAAAATCTACTTTTTCATTCTCAGTTTATTGGTAAATAATTTAGGATTTTAATTATTTAGTTTTATATGAAGTGATTACTGAATTTCGTAATATAATCAAGTTGTACATAAAATTCTCAAATTGATCATATTATTGGCGAAGCTGGAGTTTTGCTTAGGTCTGTAAATAAATAGAGTGTTCGATAAATTATTCGTGAACCGTTTACATAACACCCGTTTATGTTTGTTTATCAAGATAAATAAACAAGTATAAATAAAAATTTTATGTTCATTTAATAAATAAACAAACACGAATTAAGGTGTGTTCGATTTGTTTATGTTCACGAAAAACTCGTTTGAAAGCTTGTTTATTAACTTTATTATAAGTCCGTTTACTCGGTTCTCCTTTTCCTTATTTTAATATTTTAAATATTGGCGAAGATAGGGGTTAAACTGAACAATGATGAACTTTGGAGTTCAAACAGTGAAATCTAAGGAGCTTAAGGACTAATGGTGTAATTTCACTATTTTGGCGAATATGTTCACGAACGGTAAATAAACGAACACGAAAACCTTAAAAAATAAAAAATGAAAATAGACAGAACATGAACACCTTAAAAAAACCAAACACACACTAATCAGATATGAATACCTTTATAAATAAACAAACAAACATCAACACAATTTTATTAATTCAAATTCGATTAATTTACACTCTTACTTTTGCTTCACGTGGCCAAAATAAGATTGATTTTTTGCATAAAATTTTCATTAAAAAGACAAATTCAATTAAAAACTCGTACAACGATCATTATAGTAATTTGACCATTTGAATCAAGTGGACCAAGACTCTATATGCTCCAACTCCAATTTTTTTATACGAAATAAAAAATTAAATAATTTTATTTTTTTGAGATATAACTATCGATATTCGATCTACTAATCAACTAATTCAGATCGGATATTACAGAGGCAATAACAATACTCCCAACCTAATTTGTTGAGACAATGACAATTCTCTCAACCCAATTTGCTTAAGTCTCAAACGCCAATATTTGAACTCTTGACCTTGCTTAAATGATATAGTGTCTCATTCCATTAGACCAACTGGTAAAATAATTTTAATTTACTCAACAGTAAATATGCATGATTCATATAAAATAAAATAAAAGTTAAATTACGTGATTAAAAAAGTATTTTTTAATTAAATTTACTTTATTGGAAGACTTACATAGAGCTGGAATCCTATAGCTAAATTTAAAGCAGAGGAGAGGGAACAAAATCATCTTTATTGGTTAATGTTGGGGGCGAAAAACAGAGACATTAGGCACTATTTATGTGAAATTGACTAAAGCAAAAGTGTGGCAATTCATCAAATGTATTCTAAATGTTTTTTAGATAATTATTATAAATATTGAAGTAATTTAACTAGATATAAATATGAGTATATTTAGAAATTAAGCAGTTTTTTAAAATAATATTATTGGAAATTAAATTAATACTAAATATTTTTATAATTTATATAAATAAAATAATTGACTATAAAATAATAATTCGATAATATCCATCCAAGTTGTTTACACTTTCAAGGGAGGGAGAACAAATTTAGCATCCAAATGATTTGAAAACAAAATTCCAACATTGAATTAAATGCAAGTAACATAATATTTGTCCATGACTTTTTTTTAATTAATCATTGATATCCAATTTATTGATTGACTAATCTAGATCGGGTACTACAGAGACGAGGGCGACCCTTCTAACCCAATTTGCTCTATTCACAAATGTCAAGATTCAAAACCCTGAACTTACTTAAGGGACCTAATACTTCATCCCATTAAATCAATTGGTTGTTGGTTATTTATCCATGACTTTGATTAAACAAGCATGAATATCGAAAAGAGTATATGAAGGAGTAATAGTGTACAAATAAAAATGGAAATTAGAAGATTCAATTTTCTAAGGTAAAAAAGAAGATTCAATTTAATCACGGCATAATGCTAAAATTAGTATCCAACATTTATTAAAATGATTATTTTATTTTTTATCAAAAATTTTAAAACATTTTGGCTTCTAATTTTCTATTTTAGAATAAAAAACTTTCTAATATTTGATAAAATAATCACTTTATCTTTTATTATTTTTCTGAAGTATTTTAGCCCTAAACGTTTAATTTTAAGTTAAAAATACTCTTATTTTGAAGCATTAATCGTTTGTTAACTAATGATTTTCATCTATAGAGAATTTTGTTTTATTTCAAAGTGAAATGTTGGGGACTAAAATGCTCCAGAAGAAAGAAGAGGTGCCAAAATGACAATTTTAATAAACGTTTGGGGCTATTTTTGACATTATGCCTTTCATGAATAAGGATGATTAGGTGACATATCTCAAATGTGTGAATTCAGGGAAATTCTTTTCTTCTTAATTCCACATTTCCACTTGTTTGCTACGGTACCTTTTGTTAGCATCAAATTTTGTTCGATTCAATTCTAAGTCCATCAAAAACCAACTCAAAATCTTCCAATATTCAACATTAAAATCTTAAAATTCGAATTAAGTTTAATTTTTTCATTTTCAATCGACAATCCATTTTTCACCTAAATATAATTACTCATCATCCTTGTCTTTTGTATCGTACCCAAAATTTAGTCTCATCTTTAACTTAACACTATCATCACCTTAAATCTATCCTATAACCCCTAATTATCTGATCATAACTATATAAATTTAGGTTAAAACCTTAAAGTGTTTATATTTTAAATTCTGAAATGAAGATCTCAAAATCCTAAATTAAAAAAATAGTTGAAGACATCTAAAAAAAAGCAAACCCTAAAAGAAAAACCTAAAAAATAATCTCAAAAGAAAAGAATAAAAATATTTAAAAAAGAAAAAAAGTTAAAGAGATTTAGTTAAATCTATGTAAGTTAGAGCATTTTTCAATGTAACTTGGGCATTTTTCAACAAAACAAAGCATAAATTCAAACTCAAGAGATAAATAGGACCTTTTTGATAAATTTTAGTCATCATCGATGATGGACAACAGACGACGTTACAACAGGTTTATTAAGAAAGCTTAGAATCAACCGTTAGATAACCCAATCAAACAATTCACAAAAAATAAATGATGTAAACAATCGCTACTATTGATGGTCAAGAATAAACGTCATCAATACTAGCATATATAATATGAGAATACATTGATAACTGATTTTTTCACAACTCAAATGCGACATATTTAAGGATTAAGGTGATTGCGATCATCTATGATAGAACTGAATTGAAAATCTTTTGTAGGAGTAGATTATCAAGAGAGTTAAAAAAACATCAACTAAAAAGATAACAACAAATTTAATCTTGAAAAAAAAATATTAAAAGAACAAATAAAAAAATTAACAAATTTTATAAGAAGAATTCAAAAACATACAAAAAAACATACAAAAAAGAGAATAGAACGTGGATAAAAGTGTAGTAAAAATTACGACAAAATATATGAAATAATATAGAAGAAAATAATGAGTAAAAACCGTTCAAGTCAAAGGAAGGTGATATCATCTTTACAAACAATCAAAAAATCATAATAAAAAGAGGAGGAAAATAAAATCTTAGATAATAGTTTTTTTAAACAATGTCTCAATGTTATACTTTATATATATAAATCACTAATTTTATTTAAAATATGAAATATCTTAAATTACAATAAATATTTACAATCATAATCGTAAATTAAGCATATAATTAGGATATTTCCTGTAATCATTGAAACAAAATAAACAACTTAAGGCCACATAAGGACCATACAAGGAAATATTAAAATCTAACCAAGAAAACTCGAACAAAGATAGATACAAACAAATCTGATCGCATCGACAAACAAACCATAAAAAGGGATCAAGCTACTGAAAGACCACCGACAAACTGCAAATAAGACTCGAGTGGAAAGCTATCCACGAACACATAACATATATCTAAATCCAATCCGATGATCTAAAGCAAGGAAAATCAACAATATAACAAATAAGCATAATCTTGATTAATCGTGTCGATGTCTATTCAATCATTAGAAAAAGATAAGTGAACACAATAATTAAATAATCGAAAAACGTGCCAAAAGGTAGAAGAAAATGTGTCATAAATGCATATGAAAAACGTGTCATAGAGGCATACTTATTAAAAATAAAAAAGAAAGAAAATGAATGTGTAAAATGTAATATGATAAAATTAAAGGATAATAGAGAATACTGAAGGTCGGCATACAACATTAAAATTGGTGCCGTCATCGATAAAAAAAATAAAAATAAAAAGAAATAAATGACTTACCAATGAGAGAAAACTACGAGAGAAAACTTACATTAATGAAATTTAAATTTTCATAATGCAAAAGAGAAAACTTTATTTCTAAAAGCATTATTAATTGTATATATTGATTATATGATAAAATATTACTATATATTGTAAACATAATGCAAAAGAGGATTGCAAATTAAGAGATTAGGGTAGCAATTGGAAGTTAAAGAATTTATTAATTTTCTTGTACAAAAAGGTAAGAATGGGAATAAAAGATGGTTAAGTTCGCAGAGAGACAAATACATTAAAATATAGGCTTAATATTTAATTTGATTTTTGTATTATAATGTATTTTTATTTATTTTTAATTAGTTTGATTACAATATTTTATTTCATCTATTATTTTAGTCTTTTATCATTGTCCTTAAAATAAAATGAATAAAAGACTTTTATGTGTCAGAGTAATTTAAAAAAAACTCAAAGAAATTTATAAATTTCAAAAATTAAAATTTCATTTAAAAAGTTATATATATATATATATATATAAATATAATTAAAACGAAAAAAAGATTTTGCATAAGAAATTTATAAATTTCAAAGAAGGGCACAATATATATATATATATAGTAAACATCAATCTTTTTATCTAATAAAGATTTAAAGTAGTTAATAAATAATTATAAAGACTAAATTGATGGAAAAATAGTAAAGTAATTAAAAAAATAAATATTAAAGAAAAAACTAAAAGAAGGATTGGTGAGGTAAAAATGGAGTTTGCATAATGAGATGCCTAAATGGACCCCTCAATTCTCCACCAACTCATTGGTAAAGGTTTGGTGGGCCATCCCGTCTTATTTTATTTGCCCTCAAATAACTTTTTATTTAATCCAATTCAATTAAGCTTAAATTAAGCATCAAATAAGTGATTTCTTACTTTATTTAAGAAAATATTTGTATTGATTAAAAATAATTTTTTTTTCATATTGAGATAAATTCTTAAATTGTAATTTTTTATTTAAATGTCGATTTAATTTTAATTTGATTGACAAAAAATATTAATATTACAACATTCAAATTATGATTTTAAACATGTTTAAACATGTCTTATATTCTTTCACTTTGTACATGAAGTAAATATGAATAATTTAAGCATTATATTTAAAAATTTATTATTTAAAGAATCTTTTCATTTTCATCTTATAGTAATTTAAATTATTATTAACAATTTCTAGAGTAGGTGATTAAAACCTCAGTTGGCATTTTCTTTCTCTTTCTGGGTTGTATATTCAATACTCATTAAAAGTAAAAGTTTCCATCCCCTTCCTTTTGCAGAAATTGTTCCCAAAAATGTTATTATCTTTTAAATTATATTTCAAAAATATTTAGCATTGAATAATAATTAAAACTATTACATCATTAATTGATTATATAAAATGTTAAGGACTTATTTAAATAGAATGACAGAATGCAAGGATTTTTTTAATATATTAACCATTAAATTCTGTAGTTGGAGTTTTAAATAATAGGTATGGATATTGTGAGAAACAAATATTATTAATTTATTTATTTTCAATACTATTCCCCTGGCTCCGATCTTTTCTTTCTTGTTTTTCAATCTTCCTTCTTTTCATTCCCTAATTCTCCCAGAACTCTCTCTCTCTCTCTTTTCGTTTTGTTTCTGTTCCTTCGAACAACTTCTAAATCTCTCTGTACATAGAAGAAACCAAAGAGCTTCATTAATGGCGGCCAATAAATTTGCAACCATGTTGCATAAAAATACAAACTGGATCACTCTTGTTCTTGCCTATGCATTGCTGGAATGGATTCTGATCGTTCTCCTCCTCGTCAATGCTCTCTTCTCTTATCTGATCATCAAATTCGCTGATTACTTCGGTCTTCAAAGGCCTTGCCTTTGGTGTTCCAGGCTCGATCGTGTCTTTGAGCCATCGAAGTACAACAATTCTCACAGAGATCTTGTGTGTGATGATCATGCCAACGAGATTTCTAGATTGGGTTATTGTTCGAATCATCGAAAACTAGCGGAATCCCAAGATATGTGTGGGGATTGCTTGTCCTCCTCGAGGTCGGATTGTTGTGACTTGTCAAAGAAGCTAGCCTTTTTCCCATGGATGAAGCAGGTTGGTTTGATCCAAGATGGTGAAGGTGATAAAGTGATGGAAAATAGTGAAGAGAATTCCAAGTGTTCTTGTTGCGGTGTGATGTTGGAGAAAAAGTGGAACTTTCCTTATCTTCTGATTAAGCCTTCTTGGGAGGTTCTGGATTATCCCCGGAAAGGGAATTTAATTGCTGAAGATGGAGGATTTGATGATGTTGCAGATGAAGAAGGCAATGCTTCAGATGGTACCAGGTCAGATATTTTGGCTGATTTTAAGGAAGATGAACAAAGGGTTCAAGAAAACAATAGTGATGAGATCTTACCTGATGGTGGTGATGGTGATGATGATGAGGGTGTTAAAGATCAATCGGAAGAAGAGGAGCTTTCATGTTTTATTTCTAGTTTTAATTGCAATCAAATTGCAGCTGATGATAATGATTCTGGGGTTGTAGAGAAGGGTCTAGTTTCAATGGATGCCAACGAGTTGACTCAAGTCGGTGCTAGCAAAGAGGAGTCTCCTGAAATTCAGCCTGTTCATCTCGAGTTCTACATCGAAGGGGATGATTGCCATTTGATTCCAGTTGAATTGATGGATTCTGTTGCTATGGAAAGCCAAAGAAGATACAAATTTAGAGAGGAAGAACTAGGTATAGGTGGTAATGGAGATGTTATATTGGACTTTGATTTGCATTCCGGGACACCATTGGAACCAATGGCGGAGAATAGTTGCAATTCAGGAGAGAAAGTGACATTAATTTCACCCCATGAAAGTGAGAATGAAGCCATTGTTGAAGTGGTTGAACCGATGGAGTCCAATGAGATGAAGGAGAGCTTTTCAACACATGCAAGAGAGGAAGATGAGCAAGTTCAAGCTAATTTGACCCCTCTGAATGAAGCTGATGAAGTTCAAGGAAATGCTGCAATAGGGGAAGGGAAAATGGGAGTAGATGTTAATCAAGGTACTTGTTTAATTCAATTTAATTTGAACATTTACCAAATTCCCATTGTTTAATTGTTTTAAAATTGAAAATCTGAGTATATTTGTCAATACTCTTTTTGGCAGCTTGTGATGAGCAAAATGATGAAATTGAAGCAGAGATCTCAATAGGGACATATATTTCTGATCATGAACCAATTGAAGATATTCAAATGCAGCTTTTGTTTGAATTCACAGAAGAAGATCCCTCCTCCAGTTCTTCTAAGTTGCATGTACATGCTGATCATGGTAAGCCTTAATTTCAAATTTAGAATTGTCTTTTAATTTTTTACTTTAATCTTTTGTTTGATGTGTTTATCTTTGGTTCCTTTACTTTAGGCTCTGAGAATGCCGAGGAAGAAACATTACAGTTTAAAACTATGACAGTTGCAACATGTGACCAAGCAGTAAGAAACCATTTATCAGTATCTTTACAGCTTAATGGGATGGAGGATGATAAAGTTCTTGATACACCCACTTCGATAGACAGTATCCACCTGTTGCACAAGAAGTTGCCATTGCTCGAAAAAGGAGAATTGGGAGCGGAAGATTCGTTGGATGCAAGTGTTCTTAGTGACGCTGAGTGTGCGGATGGGGTACTGACTGTTGAGAAGTTGAAATCAGCACTAAAAGATGAAAGGAAGGCTTTAAATGCATTGTATACTGAACTCGAGGAAGAGAGAAGTGCTTCTGCAGTAGCAGCGAGCCAGACTATGGCAATGATAAATCGGCTTCAAGAAGAGAAGGCGGCAATGCAGATGGAAGCCTTGCAGTATCAGAGGATGATGGACGAACAGTCCGAGTATGACCAGGAAGCTTTGCATCTCCTGAATGAACTTATGGTCAAGAGGGAGAAAGAGAAGGCGGAGCTTGAGAAGGAGTTGGAGATATATCGTAATAGGGTGCAGGAATATGAGATGATAGAGAAAATGACAATGCGGAAAAGGATTGATGACAGCACTAGGAGTGCAACCTCTGCATCTTGCAGCAATGCTGAAGACAGTGATGGACCATCAGTCGATTTGAACCATGAACCAAAGGAAGAAGACAGCTTTGGCAACCATCAAGAGGACATCAACCAGAATACCCCTGCTGATGCAGTTTTGTATCTAGAGGAATCATTGGCTAGCTTCGAGGAAGAGAGGCTATCGATCCTAGAGCAGCTCAAAGTCTTGGAAGAGAAACTGGTTTCATTGAATGACGAAGAGGGACATTTAGAGGATGTAAAATCAGTTGAATATTTGTTTAAAGAGAATGGCAATGGCTTGTATGAGAGTTTTGATATCACCTACGAAACAAATGGGGTTGCCAAAGGTCATTTCAAGGGAGTGAACGGGAAACATCACCAAGAGAAAAATCTCATGGCTGCAAATGCAAAGAGACTCCTCCCACTTTTTGATGCCGCTGATGAAGAAATTGAGGATGGGATATTGAATGGACACGATAATGGCTTTGACCCTGTTGCCTTGCAACTGCCCTCACCCGCCAACTCCGAGCAAGATAGCAAAAGGATGTCTATTGAGGAAGAAGTGGACCATGTTTATGAGAGACTGCTAGCACTTGAGGCAGATAGGGAGTTTCTAAAGCACTGCATTAGCTCCTTGAGGAAAGGAGATAAAGGAATCTATCTTCTTCAAGAAATTTTACATCATCTTCGCGATTTGAGGAGTGTTGAACTCCGAGTAAGGAGTATCGGAGATGCCGTTATATAGTTGCATGCACCAGAATACGTACACTTGGAAGGCTAATTGGTAAATCTTAATCTGCTGCTCCTTTTATGCATATCATAGTCAACTTTTCCCTGTTACTTAATGGCACATTACCGATATCATGTTCTGTGATTATTGTAGAATGCACGAATGGAGTTGCATAACCACTACACATTTAGGATTAGGAAAAAGAGATACCAAGTCGGGCGAGGGTCAACAACATGATGGAATTAAAATTCCACATTTTTAAAGAATTTTCAATGTGAAAGTCCCTTAATGGAGAGGGAAGCTTCTTTTGTGGTCTGTTTGGGGGTGGACTGGAAAACTGAAAGACTTTCATTCCCCTTTGCAATTGCTGGGTTTTCAGTGTCCAAGTAATCCCAAAACTTGTGAGGTCTCAGCTCTTCATCACCTTTTAGAGAAAAAGGAAGATGGTGAGTGTATGTGTGTGTGCGCGCAAAGCTTAGTTAAGGTGAAAGCCAATCTGGCATTTTGTATGGCATGGCCTGAAGAGCTGGAGTGATCCAACAAAGAGTCCTTTGCCAGATGCATTAACATTAGTTTATTCAGACAATTAGAACTAGGAAGCCCCTTTTTTTTTCATTTTTTTATAATATTCTCAAGGGAAAGAAAGGGTAAATAACCCCATTTTCCATCTCATCTGTTGCATCATTTCATCATCTGATTTGGGTCTGTTTCTATTTCTGAGGGGCAAAGTTGAGTTACATGTATACACATGCATCCATCTGTAAGTATATAAAGTGAGTGTTTGCATTGTTTATGTTGTCTTGAAGCTGTGTTTTTTCTTGTTGTATATAACATATTCTTTGCTGTAAAGTATAAAAACAAGAGTGAAGTGCATATTATATTGAGAACAAGAAGCAAAGATGCCTTTCACAACTCGGTTATGCTTTAAGCATAAAACAACACCTCAGGCTAGGTACAATTTTTTAATAAAATACTCGAAATGTTAATAAATTAATGATGATGATGAGGATCAAGCTTAGGTAGCTTTCATTATATTCATCATGGAGTTTTGATGTACCAAAACATTAATATATTTAAGCTAAGTGTTAAAGATCGTTAAATTATTAAGTTTTGATTGAACTCATCAAGTGACATTAGTGGTTCAAGGGAGTGTTATTCTCTTTAGAGGTTACGGGTTTGAGCAACTACATTTGGAGGATGTGTTTTGTCAATGGCTAAGAAAGATTCTGAACAAATTCTGAATAGATTCTATCTCCATTTCTGGTTATTAGAAAACAAAAATTCGAAAATTTTCCAACAAGAATCTAAGATAGATCGTACTTTATTAAATAAATATTTAATGATTCATTTTAAAACATACATCCTCATTATACTAACGTTATACTTTGATGACGATTGAGGGTCAATATGATTTTTTTTTAAAAAAAGTAGGAACTAAATTGTAATTATTTAAAAGTTAAATGAGTAACTTATAAGATTATTCTAAAGTCTAATTATATTAATATTTAGACCTCCCTAATCACGTTATTATATGTTTATAAGTCTTAAAAGAGCATCTTATCACTTGTTAGGATTTTTATGGACTAATTCATGAATTTTAGAAGTTTTAAGGATCACTTGAGATATTAATTCTTTTACTGATTATACATATTATTAAACATACAATCTTTCAAAATTATCAATTAAAAAAGGCCCGATATCAATTGAGAAAATTATGAATTAAAGACAAATTTTAAAATTTAGAGCTCAATTTCATAACTGGATGCTCATTTCAATATTAAATGTTGGTTTTGATAATAAAAAATCATTCTAGAGTCACCTGTTTCAATACTCAAGTTTGGCCATATACGCGAGAAGGATGGAATTTGGGCTGTTTTGGCTTGGCTTTCAATACTTGCATATAAAAATAAGGATAATCTCAATGGAAGCAAGTTTGTGACTGTTGAGGATAGTCCGCCAGCATTGGGCTACCTATGGTCGACATTATTATACTCGATATGACTATGAGGTATACAACATTTTGCTATTTTGTTCCTCATTTTGTCCATAAAGGCATTGAGAGGCATCTAACCGATTCGGTTTCTTTCATGAAGAATGTGGATGCTGGTGCAGCAAAAGATTTAATGGCATTTTTGGTCAAATTGCAGTCATCTCTCGATGAAATTAACACATATGTACATATTCTATATTTAGAACTACTCAACCACTCCCTATATTCTGTGTCCCGTTTTGCAGTTTCTTATGGGGAATGGCCATGCCTTTCCTGCATTGTATTTCTTTTTATTGCTTGAATATATTAAACAACTTTAAGCGAAATTAATTGCTGTAAACTGTGTTATATTCTAAAAAGTGGCTAAGTGATACTTAATGAAGCTTGTTCCGTTATCCATGTTTATGGGGTGTTGCCGTTGGGTGATTTAGTTATTCATGCTAGCTTGATGGGCTTTTTAACTGCCTAAAGTCTTTCACTTTAGTGTTTGGTGTTACTTCATATTATCTTTAAATAACTACTTTTTCCGCAATTAGTGAGCTTCTAGGTTTAAAAGTTTATGATCTTTCAATTTAATCAGTGATTCTAGAGGCTAATTTAGTTTAATATCAAAATTCCCTTAGAATATAGAATTATATTACGATTCTAGGAATGACATTAGTAAAGGTTTTACGCAGAAATCATACATTGCATTTGGTGAGAAATTGTGATGGCTGCAGTCATTATTCCTAAAGATTTTCCACGGGGTTTTACTTTCTTTTGATAATCTTATGCCTTCGATCATGCAGTATAGTGAAGGGGGCTCGTTCGGATGTGTCAAATGTTGTGAATGCAGATGAATTCGAATACAAGGATCCTGTTGATGGTTCTATTTCGAAGCACCAAGGCATTCGGTTTTTGTTCGAAGATGGGTCACCATTGGTAATTCACTTTCCTGACTCTTTTACCAACGGAAGGTTATCTGAGGATTTTGTACTTGAAATTTATTTACATGGTTTCACTCGCTAGGTGTTCCGTCTCTCTGGAACTGGCTCAGAAGGCGCAACCATCCGTCTCTACATTGAGCAGTACGAAAAGGATTCTTCAAAAACCGGAAGAGATTCCCAAGAAGCACTTGCTCCTCTTGTGAGACAATCCTTAAACTTGTGTCTTAATTGTCGAAGTCTCATCTTCGCTTTCACGTTTTTAGGCTAACATTTTTCGTTCGATATCAGGTGGAGATTGCAATAAAACTTTCAAAGATGCAGGAGTTCACCGGCCGATCGGCACCTACTGTTATCACATAGATCCATATACTACAAGTTATGTAATCTTAAAAAGGGAGAATCCAACGAACTTGTGTTTGTAGGACAATTTGAGCTGCATTTTTTTTATTATAATTTAACATAATGTAAACAATTCCCTGTATTTGACTATAAAGCTCTTGCAAGAATAAATAGAAATTTCACAACTGGATTGCTTTCAATTTTTTCAAAAACTGTTGAAGGAATAATTGAAATATATATAGATCTATACGCTTGGGGCCATAATCAAGCAGCTAGGATATATGACTTAACAACAAACAAGCAAAGTTTTAGAAGTAAGCTTTAAGTATTATTTATTGGAGTCCTATCCTAAACCAACTGCTCCCCAGTTTTCCAATATAATCAAGCATTTAACACGCCTATGATCTCATGTGAATTGTCCATGCAGGTTGCAGGAATATATAAGTTAGAATCATTTCTTTCAAAATTGAGCTGATTTTAATTAAAATTCATCAAACCTGCCCCAAAATTTATATTAAAATTACAAAGGTATTGGAGAAAGCGACGAGAAAAAAGTTAAGAGAAGCCAAGTATTTGGGGAGTGGGCAACTTCGATCAGTGTTATCCAAATGCTCAACCTTTTGTTCAACCGTTGATGATCTGTCTTAATGGCAACTTCTTAACAAGAATCAAACACTTTTTCACCCAAAAAAAGAAGAAGATATTATTGACTACTGATGAATGACAATCCGAGGTGACTTAAATTAAGAATATTCATGAAAGCTATAAACATAAATTGGCAAAATTTGATGCTGGATACATGCACGACTTAGTTTGCACTTTCTAGATATGACATGATTGGTAGAGACGTAAGATTTTATGTTAGAGATGAAAATTTTATGAAATTTTAAAATAAGATGAACTTATAAAATTTTAGAGAATAAAAATAAATTATTAATAGAAAATACAACAAATATATATATATAAAATACAGAGAAATCTGAAAATTTTAGGAAGCATGACCGCCCCTAACCCCGGACTGTCCCTGATAATTGGTAACCTTTAGATTAATAATATTTTCTTTTATTATTTTATTTATTAGTATGTACAGTTGCCTTCTATTTAATAGTAATTAAGGAATTTTAAGATAAAACTCATATTTTAAAAATAATATAAATAATCAATAAAGTATTTATGAATTATCATGTGAACTGTCATATTAAAATCATTGAAATTTTAACAATCCAGTAAAATTATTGTTTTGAAAATAACAAGTTGACTAACTTTTGAAGATTAATGGTTAAAGTGATAAAAATAGGATCAAAGTGACAAAAGGAACAAATACTAGGTGTTAAATTTGTCAATATGTCAAAAAAATATTACAACCTCAAATTTAAATAAATTAACAATTATTTGAGTAGACACAAAAATTTTAGATTCCTCATTTGACTGAGTCAAAGATGATATTTTTATTTAATATATTTGAAAATACTAAAGAAATAAATCATTTAGAAAAATTATACTTGTATGCAAATATTTTTTTTATTAATCTAGGGAAAGTACAAGGTAGTATTTGTTAAAAGAACACTCTAAATCACACACTCATACTCTTAGCATTCATGGTGCTCAAACCCAGGACCTTAAAGAATATTAACAATTTCTTTACCATCGAAGTCAATAGGATTCGTGCAAATAATCTTTAAAATATTAAATATTAATTTTTGAAAAATATTATTAAAAATAATTTCAAAGAGTATTTTTAAATTGCTTGATTTAGAGTTTGAGATAACATGGTATGGGAGGGTATAGCTCAGAAATATTACTATTTTTTTTTGATAAATTTGAGGTGAATATAAGGTAATATATATTCAATAATTTTTAATCTTTTAATAATGATCGCTCATACCTCTACATATATGATGTTCAAACCTTAAAACTCATAAAATAACAGCAAATCTCTTAACTATTAAAATCGCCCCTTTCGTTTGGTTAAGCAATAGTGTGAAAGAAGGAGAATTCCGGATATACTACAAAGATAAGATACCTAATCCTTTTCTTGCATTCTTAGCTACCAATCATTCATATTTATATAAATTGTTCTTTTTGACTCGATCGATTTAAAAAAATTAATTCAAATTGAGTTATAAAATAGAACTCTAGTAACTCAACGCATATAAAAAAATATGAAGAAGTATATATATATATTGGTTTTTTGGTAAAATAATATATATGTATTGTTTTAGTTTAAAAAAAACTGTTTAAATTATAATCAAATAGTATCATAATATTATGAATATCAACAATTAAATTTAAATAGAAACTCGAACAATTTTATTCGAATCGACTCATAAAATTTTTAATTGAAATTTGAGTTATAAAATATGACTCATCAACTTGAATAACTCGAAAAGTTTTTACTTGACTCGATTGAATGCTCTCCCATATATATATATATATATATATATATATATATTATTAAATTCTTTTTAAAAAAAAAAGAAAATTAAGAATTCTATATATGTGATAGATTGGGTCCTTTTGGGCTCAATGTTTTTAGGGAAAATTATATTTTTGTGGTCAAAATTGGATATTACAAAACAAGTCAATACATGTGAATAAAGGTAAGTCGCAATTTGGAATTTATTATTAGTATGTATTAATGAATTATACATATTTTATTTTCATATAATCGACAACCATGAGTTGTATATTATAATATTTCTAATTTGTAAAAAAAATAGCAAGGCAAACCCATTTTGATAAATAGTAGATGTACACTTACAATTTCATGAATTAAGCATTAATACAACACTTATTCTTCTCCACTTTTGATACCTAATATTTATTACCCATGCAAGCGAAAACCAAAGTAATTTCAACATAAGGGCGCTTTACTATTTACATTTTCCAAACGGGAAAATCAACCCCAAAACACGAAAACTGTCACAGTCCAGCATCAAACGGCACTCCGGTGGTCGGAATCCAAGAACTCCCGGCCAAAAAATTCCCCACCGTAAATTTTCCGGCTTCTGCTGCACCTATAACGTGATATCCATCCCATTTCACCCTTCCGCCGGTGCTTGCTCCGGCGCCGGTGTTCATGTACTCAGCGTAGTAAAGAGTGCTTAGAGCGAAGCTTCCACTCCAAGGTAACCACCCTTCTTTATCAATCAATCCATCCAAGGTGCTCTTCATGAACACCGTTCTTGAATATTTCTGCCATGGCCTCCCCAGATAACTCTTGAACGATCCTTGAACCGCCTTCATATCCGCCGCCGCCGTCACTCGTGAATTGTGGATGATTATTCCCGTATTCTCGTTCGGATCGGTTCTCCCTTGTGCGGTAACAGTGTTCTTTTGGCCGCTCATCGGCTGACGGATGTAGATGTTGCAGTTCTGGAAGACGGCAACGGCGTCTCCGAATATGAAGTCAACCGTTCCGTAAATGTCGCAGTCACGATAGAATTGACGTTGAGAGTAAACGTATAAGGTATCTTGGTAACCTTTGAAGCTGCAACGATAGAAGACTGAGAAATCAGAACCGGACCGGAGGGCGACCGCCTGGTGATTTTGCGGTCCGGCGGTGTTCTCGAAGGTTATGTCACGAGCTACGAAGCCATCACCCGAAACACCTGAAAGAAAGATAAAATTCAGTGAGTAAATTTATTTATTATATATGGAAAATAGTAAAAGGAAAAATGTTTTGCCTATAAAATTATGTTTCTTTACCTTCTTTTAGTATTACTTTTTAGTTTTACACATTTAATATCATTTCAATTAATAAAAAAAATCATTCGATGAGTTAAAATAAACGGATGAGATTAACGATAGAAGATGAAAAATATATTCACTAGAAAGATAAAAAATTAATCTCAATTGTTTATTTTGACCATTTTAACTGTCCTAAATTTATGTAAAAAAAAAAATTCATATTGTATAAATGAATCCTAACCCTATTATTATAAGATGAATTTTTCTAATTCAATTTATTTCATTCATATTATCTAAATTTATTTATTTTTTAATATTATGTTGATTGGTTGTTGGTGAAACAGGGGACACTAAAAAAATACTCAAAGTTGACTACTTTTTTTTACTAGTGCAAAATAAGAAACAAAATGATTTGACCCTTGTATTTTAATTTGTTACTCTTGATCCTTAAGTCTCTTTCGTTTATGATTATGATAGTAATGATAATGATAATTATTACCTGAACACGTTATAACTTTTCCTTTTATCCTCAAACTATGATTTCTTTTACGTAGGAAAAAAAATAACGTTTTGATATATTTATGCATGTTTCATTAAAGAGCTTACCAACGGTTGCTGAACGAAACGTTGTTGTGGTCTGAGCATTCTTGCTACCGGTGACAATGGTGGAATCAATTCCGTCTCCGATTAACATTATATTTTTAGCTGATTTCTTAATATCCACACTTTCCTTATAAACTCCACTTTTCACGTATATAACAGTTCTTTTGCCCCCACCAGCTGCTGCCACCGCCTCCGTTATGGTCTTAAAGTTACCGGAACCGTCTTGAGCCACCACGATATCGGCTTTCGGCGCACCGCTTGATTGCAAGAGCTTCCGATCGGCAGCCGAAAGCCAAGCAGGGAATCCATCAGAGAGTAGGCGTCGATTGCCACCTTGTTTAGCGAAGTTACTATGGGAAGAAGAGGTGGCCTTATTTATGGCTAGAGAATTGCTAATAAGCTTCGTAAAGTTGCCTAACATAGGTGGTAGGGTTTGTAAATGGGAGGCTAAGTTGAAGTCAATGAAGCCATTTTGACAGGTCTGTTGGTTAGCGATTGAAGCACTTAGCCAGGTCTGAGAATCTATGGGATCCGTTGTGCTGGTAGATTGGTTAAGATGGCGGATGGTGTCCTCATAGAGTTCCAAGCAATCGTTCCAGGCTAACCTGGCGCGTTCATCAAACGAGCTCGAGTCGATCGACGAAATCAACCGGTGAGCTTGAACTGCTTGGTTCAGAGTCACCTGAAGGGCAACATCACGGAACGAGAATCGGGTTTGATCGAGTTGTGCGGCAACATTAACACTATTTCCGATGTAATGGT